AATGATGAAGTTAAAACCATTAGGAGTTAGTAAACTTGACTAAGGTCACACAAGTAGAAAGAGGCAGAGCGAAGACTTCAATGAAGACTGACTCCAAAGATCCTTGCTATCCTAAATGTAATCCATGGACCAGTGGCACTGCAGTGCCTGGAGCTTGTGTGGCATGTAGTCTCAGGCTCTATCCCAGACTGCCTGAATCAGAACCTGCATCTTGACAAGACCCCCAGGTGATTGTTAGGCATGTTGAAGTGTGAGGACTACTCTCAACCACTCTGGTTGATTAAGACTTCCTAACCCAGAGGTGGCTTCCTCAGGTAAACACCCTAGAACTTCAGTTCCATCAGCAGTTTGATGACACCTAGAATCAAACAGATTCCAGTCTTACTAGGGGAAAATGGGTTTTTGGTTTTGCCTTTAACAGACCTTTCTGTCAATGCATTGGGACGTGGGAAGGAGAAATGGGAGTTTTCAAACCCTGTTCTTCCAGTGACAAACTCTGGTCTAATTTACATAGTGTAACTCCAGCACAAGATGGGCTCTGTAAGCACTTCCTCCTCTGCAGAGCAGTAAGAATCTTAACAGCAGATCTCAACAGAACACTCAAATCTATCTACTAGTTATTGGTGAATTGAATACTTGCCTGCAGGGTTTTGAGTAAACAAAAGAAGCACACTCTGTCCCTGTAGTTTGAGATTGTTTGCAGATGTTCTAGAAGGATGAATAGTGTATGATAAATTTTATCTGAGTTGTCTCTGCCCATTTCAATGACCCTGGCACAGGCAGCCTGATTGAGAAATGGCTCCTGGGCAAGAACAAAGAGAAGACTGAGGCACTTAAACTTTGCTGACTGTAGCAATTTTTGCTACAAAAATTGCACTTGACTCCTTCACTTCAGTGTAATCATCAACCATTACCTGGTTAGTTTCGCCCTTTGTGGCACCTGGCCCACCCTTGCACTGTGCTGGACCAGTTTTCTTACTCAGATTTGTTTTACAGTTCACTTATCCTTAGAAGATTTAACCGTGAATTCCCTTTATAACTTTCCACTTAGATGGGTCTCTTGGTAACACCTCTGTAGACCTGGCCTCAGCCCTAGTACACAGTACTCCCACATTCTAACAGCTGGATAGAATGTCTTTCAGAGTCAGCAAAACCTATTTTTTAAGGTACAAGAGAGAAAATACATGCTATTTGACCATAATCAGGGACTCCTAGAAGAACAGATGCCCACTAGCTTCTTTGCAATAGCCACTTTTAAAATCATTCTCAAGTTCATTTTCTCCATCTCTTTGAACTTCTCCTTCCCCTCAATCTAAGTAGTTGGATCATAAGAATGGTTGGACCCTATCCTTTGGTCTCGAGGAACTGCCTTTAATCATTTACTTGATGCTACCCAAGCTGATCAAACAACTCTTCCACATTCCTGTTTTCCCAGCCCTGAGGAAGTACTTATGTGGAACCGAGACACCTACAGCATTTCACTCTTTTCCTTCTTTAAAACAAAACCTATCGATCCCAGTCTGTCTTCCCACATTGTCTTTATGTGGGTTAGTGTACTAGAGACCAGTTTCTCATTAAGATGTCTTCATTTAGGATAGAATGTGCAGTCTTACACTTACTTCCTATGTCTGGACAATTGAAAGCATTCCCCACCTCCATCTACCCCACATTCTAGAATACTCTCAACCACAAGGGCACAGCATAAGCACATGCATGACCCATGTGAGGATGTGGCAAGTAATCTGCAACCAACAAAGTGTCAGTGTTTGCAAACGGTCCCAGGATATCCCTATATTAATACCATCATCCCTGGATATCCTTATACTAATACCATTATTACTGCTAGGCATTCCTGTATGCTTTTTGGGAGGGAGAGAAAAGTGAAACCACAGGAGTCATAAAAAGCACTGCCATGACCTCCAACCAGCCCAGGTCATTTATGCCATAGCACGAGCCAAAACACAGCTACTGACACCCTTAATGGTTATGGTGCTTATACATTAGTGTAGTGATTTAATCTGGGTATATTCATGAGACTGGCTAAAAAAGGTTCACCACCTCTGGCCCATCATTTTTAAAAGTACAAATCATGCATTTCTTTGGGTGGTAATACCTGTCTCATCTTCAAAGAATTAAGAAGGCTATGACTTAATATATAACACCAAGTAGAGTGGAAAACTATCACCTAATACACGGGACAGATAATATATTTTAGATTGGTAATTTATTCAGGCCAGGGCATGCTATATTGTCTGGGCATTATATACATGCTTTATTTTCATTTATTAAATTGTGATAACTCAGCTAGAGAAGATTCATAAAATCACTTCAATCTAAATGAGATCCTTTGGTAAAAAAAAATATATTTTCTGACCAGTCAATTATACTAAATTAGCCCTTGGTCGTCAATATAGTGACACATCACAGCTGGACTGCTCTCACATCCAAAATGTGTTCTAAGAAGAAAGCAGCTTAGGTATAAGAATTTTTATTTTTCATGCCATGGTATCATTGCTAAATAATACCCTATCCATCCCTCAGACATAAGCCTTTGAAGCAGATGAATCAATGCAAACAACCATCTCCCAATTTCTGGGTATCTTGAATGAACCATCTTTAAGATCATTTTCTTTTGAGCATCAACTGAACAGTAGACCCAAAAGGGGGGATCATATTTATATTGCATTATTTTTGCATATGTTTTGCTGATCTGAGATTATATGGGACACTAAGGATATGTAAAAACGTCAAAACCTTTAGTTTGGCTTGATAAAATAAAAAGAAAGGCAGTTCAGGTTACTTATAAGTTTAGAGCTTGTTTTATATATACAATGCTGTGTTACTAAGCAATGAACACTTTCATAAAAAAATTTATTTCACACTTTTATACAAATATCCACAGGTATTTTCTAATCATGAAATAATTTTACAATGCTAGTTAGTATAAAAATGTATCAAATGTGAACAGACCAGTGATTTGACTTGAGATGACATTTTTAACAACTATAAATTTAAACCGCTACATTCTTGTTTCTTTGTTATTTAACCACCCTTCCACCCTCCCACCCCACCCTTTTTTCAGGACTTTCGTTTTTTTATAACAGAGGTCTATAAACATGTTGAAAATATCAGCTTCTTAGCAACCTAAAAAGCCAGTGCATTGGGTTCCAAGTTACCTAAGCAAGAAACTGAGATTTTAAACACTGTTATGACCTGCTTAGAGGTTTTGTAAACAAAATATCATTTGTAAAACAATTTTTGTGAATGTAAATTCCAAAGTACAATTAGAATAATGTTCTTAGTATCTTCAGGGCATAAGATTTTCAAAAAGAAATAAAATAAAACTCCAAACAACAATGGCACATAGCTGTATTTTGCTCTTTTAAAAGATTGAGACACTGCTTACACTATGTCAAACAAATTAGCACCTGTTTGCTGTTGTTCCCCATATAACTTAACATTTTAAAGCACAGTAATTAAAAAAAAATCAGCTTTCATATCTATTCAATCTCTATTAAATGTATAGAATAATAGCTTCCTCCGCCCTCCATTTTTATAATTAAAAAACAATTTAAAGTTCTTGTTAGAGTAGTCCTGAAGTAATTTGGGAAATACAGAGAGGGGAGGAAACAAAGGGAAAAATAGAACACTGACTCATTGATTAAATTATTCAAATAACATTATAAACTTAAAAGCCATGATGTTCTAATCTGACTTTTGATATCAGATACTCAGTAGTCTTACACTGGATCAGTTTGGATCCACCATAGGCACTCACCATTTCTTTCAAGTCCTGTATATACAGCAGTGACGAAAGTTCAAGAAACAAACCCATTATTTCCAAGATTTCCTGAAAGTTATAGCATGAAATTCAGAAATATCACACAGGGCTCTAAACTCAAAAATCTGACGTCTGTTAAGAATTAAACATCTTACAGTTAATCCCATTTCTTAAACAAAATTTTTGGGTGTGGAGGGAGGGGTCAGGGCTATTATGAAGGAAGATGTTTTAATAACTTAAAACTTATCTGTAAATTATAACAACTCTGGGACATTTATAAAGAATTATTTTCTTTTTGCAGTACATAATTTAGGTCCAACCAATGACCTCCCATGTTCTAACTGATTGCTTAATCCAACCTGAAGGGCAAACTGGAGAATCTTTGGCCTGTTAGTCAATAGAAAAATGGTTCGTAAAAAAGAAAAAAAATAAATACCATATACAAGTAAGTATAACTAAGCATTCAAGTCTGTTGCACCTGTGTGTCTTAGGGAACAGGGAAAATGAAACCTTTATGTATTTGGTGTGAGCAAGTATTCACACATCTAGGAAATGGAAAGATGGCAGGATGGCAACATCACCTTCTATTGCACATTTAATTTTAAGAGAGTACTTTAAATTGAAACCCAACTACCCCTAATGGCGTTGTCTTGTAATGTGGGACAGTTAACGTGCAGGTTCTCCAGCCCCTATGGGAAGAATGTTTGCAGGGGCAGTGCCGAGGTTAGGATGGTAACTCTGTTGCCTTGGTGACTGTGGGTGCCTTCTTGCAGCTACACTGTTGGGAGGATGTCGTATGAGCATAACTGGGCAGGCCCTTCCCCGGCACATGTGAGTCAGCCACACCAAAAACAAAGGCAACTCGAAAAGTTAAATTAAGGCAGTTAAAGAAAAATCCATTCCAACAGTCTCAAATTTGGCTGTGCAAAACAGGAGCCGTAGGCTACGTAACAATGTCCACAGCAGTGAAAACTGTAGGTTCGTACTGTATGTAGTCTGTCTGAAGTCACTATTCAGGTTTTGGAACAGGCTTTTAAATCCATTTGAATTTCTGAGTTGGGAAAAATTAAAAAAGCAGTTTGGGTACTGTGAAGCCTCTTTGGCGCCCCCTAGGAGTAGCTTTCATTTTCATTCCACCTTGTGATCCACTGTTTTTTTTCAAGGTTATCATTATATTTTTCATCTTTGATCTCTCGCTCTTCTTTCCGGATCCTGACAGCATGATATCGGGGAACGCTATCATCGTACCTAGAGCGTTTAAAGAATCCACACTGGAGAAGGGGAAAGAGAAACAGAGACAAAGTAAGTAATCTCAGGAAAAGCAGGTACACTCAACAGGAATGTCTACACTTTCTGCTCAGCCATGCCTACCTCTGGACTAAAGGAAAAAGACATGGTTTTCTTTTAAGAAAGAACTAATAAGTCGAAAAGAACTGATAACAGCCAGTGGAGATAAATGGAAAGGAAGAACAGCTGTAAAACTGGAAGAAAAGTCCGTTTTTTCCATCTTTTCTTTACATTTTGTAACAATGTACGCCATAGCTCCTTACTAAAATTTAAGAGTTTCTGAAACGTTGCTTCCATCTTTTATAATCACCATACTATAATGTAACAGATCTAATGTTTAGATTATTAAAACATCATTTTGAAGAAAAAATTTTAAGGTCATAAACCAAAGATTATTTCATGCCCCTCTCCCACTAACAAAATGGAACTCGGGTCACATATAGTTTACAAATAACAGTTTGAATATGCCAGTGTTCAAAGGGGTCAATTTAAGAATCCTCTTCTGCGAGGCTCCAGTACACATCTCTCATTAGTGAGAAGGTAATTTACACTGCTTGGACTTGCTGTTGTGCTTCCAAATTAAGCTCTTTCATTAATAAATCATGAAATTCTGTTCTGTAATGAAATCCATCATGTACCACGAAGAACTTGAGAAAAGTATCATTGGATTGAATTTCAGAGCATCACCTAATTTCTTCTTTTTTTTTTTTTTTTTGCAAAAGGAAAAGACGTGTACATTTAAATTATTAATGAATATATATTTTATTCATTTAAAAATATTCAATCTGATTCAAAGTAGATTTTTACTGAGAACATATTGGATATTTAAAAATCAGACTGAATTTTTTTACAATGCATATGCCTTTTTAAAAAAATGTGTTTTCAATTTTAAAAATGCAGATAGAAGGATGAGGAGGATACTTAGAATGCTTGATTAATGTTTATTACATGACATCAACAGGAACAGAACATTTACATTGAATGAATTTATATTGTAAGAATGTCATGGGGCAGAATAAAATTATGTGCAGTTATCACTGAATCAATAGGAAAAATGGACCAAGAAGTTTTGTTCTGAGCCCATTTCTGCATGGACTCCTTTATTATTCTGTGCAAAAAAAAAAAAAAAGCCAAATAGCTATCTATTACAAAATGGGGCTCTTGCTCCATTTAAATAAAGAAGTCAAGTTTGATATGTAAAATTGAAATGGAAATGTTGGGATTCACTGAGACCGTGCCATGGAAAGGGATGGATGACAGGAGTAATTCTACCCTCTCATGCTCACAGAAATGGAAAAAGGAATCACTGCCAATTCCTGTTTCCATGGATTTATAAATAAGAGAAACAAAACATGAACTTAAAATCAGCTGATGCCCCAAGGTTGAATCAAATCTCTTGGAACATGAAACAAGGTCCAAAATCCATTACAACATATTGAAATAAATACTATCCAGAGCATTTGTATACTAGAATTTTGTATATTGAAGGTCACTTTGATAAAGAACTAGCTTCTGAAATTGGCCATAATATCCATCATGCCAGTAGTCTTGGTTTGTTGTAATGGTCTTCGACCCATGGTAGATATGCAGGAAAAGGAAGTTGCATGCTTAGCTAGCATAAAACAAGTTCTGAGCAACAATGAAAGCATTCCAAGCCTTCCCCCATCACTTTATAGCAAGGAGATCAAAAAGATGACAGAGAAAGCCTTCTCATCAAGAGAAACACCATGTTTCCAACATGCAGCAGGTTAATTAGGCAGTCAACACAAGCGTCTATCCGTGGGAAATTCCAAAATGGACAAGAAATCTGGAATGATTTCTTATGCATCTTTGAAATTCCAAGTGGGATACTGCATACTGGATTAACAACACATGGCAAATTGGGCTACTATGGAGGTCAAAGCCTACGTACATCCTTTTGTATGTACGTAGATTGCAGTTTTCTTCACCACTGTGGGTTATGTTGAACAACACAAAATAACTCACCTGCAAAGGGAAGATTCTTTCAGTATTAAAAAAACTGAGTTTTTAAGTGAAATAAATAAATTCAAGCAAGGCAAGCCAGTGTGGACATTTGGAAACATCTGTTAATGGGACACACACACAGCAAGCTGTTGCTCTTAAAGTTAGCCACCACAACCATAGCAGGTCCCACAGCTAGCAATTAAAAAACATTGATCAATTACCAATTACAGAAGTAGATCAATACTATGCATCAGAAGTAAGCCTCTCTTTATCAGATGGCTGAGCATGGATCTCAGCCTTGTGATATGTGGCATCATAATGATCTTTCTTATTTCTCTTGAAGAAACCACACTACAAGGAAGCAAGGTATTTAGTCAGTTTTACAGTTTGGTGTATGAGAGCTAAACCAAAAAAAATCTCAGATTTTAATCTGTTTTCTATTCATAGCTTGTTTACCAAGAGACCACTATGGATGAACCAAAAGTGAATAGCCACTGTACTATGTTACATTGGGACAGCAATCAACCCAACTATATTACCATGGGTCTCCCTCTAGTCAAATATTTATATGGGTGACATTGGTCAACTAATTGATATTTCTATTTGTAACAGAAATCCTGAGGACAAAAATTATTCTAAGAGGGAAAATATGTACACATCTGATTATAGCTGTGGGTGGTTTCTCCTTGCAGGAGAATATGGACTCTAAAACAAGCATAAGATTGACTTCTGCAGTTTATTGAGGCAAAGGTTAAAGAACAAATTCTCTAAAATTTAGTACAAATACAAATAAAATAGAGATACTATATTTTTCTGCCTTTCACAGTAAATTTTATGGAACAAATGCCATCTATTTGAGGCCTTTGGATTTGTGGGTTGAATCACAATATAAATTTGAATATACCATCATGAAAGAATGATTGCAGTCATTGTCACAAATTCTGAACCACCATGTAACCCTGAAGTGGTAGAAACCTATGCTCCTCCGCTTAGGTTACTCTAAGTGAGTATCAAAGTGTAATTCTACTTTCTACTATAATTTCCTTCATTCAGCGATGGAGTACTTTTACCTTGATCCTAAGGCCATGGAACTGCCCTTTGAAATACAACATGGTCAAATAAATCTCTGCCCTCCTGAAAAATTCTGCTTCCTAGTCTGGCAACTCTTTGAAGTAAAAAAATCTAGATCTGCTTTGTACAATATGGTAGCTACTAGCTACATGTGGCTATTCAAATATAAATTAAATTTAAAAGTCAATCCCTCAGTTGCACTAACCATATTCCAATTGATCAACAGCCACATGTGACTAGTGACCACCATACTGGATGGTACAACTTCAGAACATTTCCATTAATCCATAAAGTTTTACTGGGCAGTGTAGATCTAGACTATTTATCTTAATATCTACTTGTGGCTCTCAATTTAATACACAGTGAGCACTCCCAGCCAACTTTCAATAACATGTGCTAGTAAATAGGGTGGGAAAAGGAATAAACCAGAAACCGAGAGCCCTGGTGCTGCCTCCAACTTGGCAACATTCTTAATTAATATCCATGGCATAAGCATCTTTGCAAAATGAAGGTGACTGGACCAGCCTGGAGGACTTTCGTCTTTCACCCCCAAACAAAATCCTATGCAGAATCCCAATATTTAAACCAAACAAAATCAGAACTAGTCTGGCTGAAGTGGAGATGTTGGCCCAAGCCCTATCTGCTTAGTCCTGGCACCTACATGGATGTGTAAAACCCATTTTAAAGGCCACTGAACTAGAGTCCTTTCTGGCCCCCAAATTCTATGACTTTAACACATAACAAATAGTTCAGTTTCAGAAAGAAGAATATCTGTAAAATAATAAAAATGATTTTCATGTGGGGGTTGTAGATGTTGTCTGATTAGAGTTCACTTGTGAGTTGGGATACTTCAGAATTAAGAAAAAAAGTCAATGAGATCATCTAGTCCAACCTACTTATTAAACAGCTAAGGCAATTTGCCCAAGATTATATAGCTTGGATTTCTTAATTCTCAGCCCACTGCTATGTCTCACCCTCATTAAAGACTGACAATAAGACCTGCTCCAGAAAAGATTATCCTTGTGACCTTTTCCAGAGAGCACAAGAAGGCCATCCTCAAATATACAACCTCAAATTCAGTTCTTGATGTCAAAATAATCATCAGGGTTTCTCTTATATTGGTTGGCTGTGCTTAACCAGAGAAACCTATTGCCTGAAATAAACATCAGAGGTAGGACTGGCTAACGTCCCCTGTGAGGAAGAATCTTGACATGAACAGATACCAAGCTTCAATCACACATTTGGAAGAAACCAGAAAATTATCTCAGATTAGAAAAAGGAAGTTACTTGGAAAGAAAATCAAAAAGGTGATGCCCGATATTTGAACATGAGACTATCCTGAACGCTTGTCCATTATACTTTTGGATCCAAGGAAAGGATAAGGATAGTTTGATCCTAGAGATTGTTGGCTGGGGTTCATAATTCTTTATGCAAAACTCACTGGACTAGGTATGTTTGGAAATCGAGAGCTTTGAGTATTTTAGACAAGTAATATGCATACTTAATGCCACTGTAACCAAAACATTAATATTTCTGCAGTGAAATTAATGAATAAAGGATAAAAACTATAAATAGCCTCTCTTCACATCATGTCAAGTTTTGCTACCAAATAAGTCATTACAAACTTTCAGTTTTCAGAAGTTTTTTTTTTGCAATTTGTAATTGTTTGTAAGGGACCATGGACCTCCATTACTGAGAATAAATCCAAATCTATAGGTTGTAATCTTTGGCAACAGAAGTATGCATCCATTTCATACACACTTTTTTGTAAACTATTTACTGGTAGGAAGAAGCAGGGGGAAGATACTACATTTTATTTGCAGGACCAATCCTAATGAAGAACATATTGAACCCAAATCTTCCTCATGTTTGGTATAGGCTATGATGACTCACTTGAGATGCAGTTATTCATTGATTTCGTAATTTTATATTCCTCACCTAGCTGCAATGATAGAAAGCCCAACAGCTGCCATGAACATTTGTTTACAGAAGTTGAAATTAACAGGGATACAGATTCTGATTAATATGATACTCAACAATTTGGCATAGGTTCAGAAGATGCTAAACTAGTAAAAATTTAAAAATTGTTATTTGCCAAACATGCTAAATTATATGTGAAAAACACCAAAATTTATACATTTAAGCAACTTCTTATAATGTATAAATAATATACTTTTAAACACAAAGTATTAGGTAGAGATATGCAGGTATTTATTGTAAAATTCTCAAATTGTATGTTGGAAAAGTTTCATAATAAAATGTTGCAAAAAAGGAATAAATGAAAAACCGAAATGTACATATGCTATCAATGTTCATGTACTTTTTTAAAAAAAACATGAAATAAGGTTTAAAATCATAAAACTCAAATGCCAGATATAACTTACCTTCCATAATATAAGAACTAATACAGCAAGCATCAAAATCCCAGCGAGAATAGCCACGAGGATGATCCACCATGGGACTCCCGAATGCTGAGCCACAGTCTTTGAGGGAAACACAGTCACACGAACCTACGGGACATACAAGGGAGCAAGATGATTATAAAATGGGGTGACAGTTAATATCAGGAGTTTATAGTTCTCATTCTGCTTCCGGGCACATGTTGGACAATGCAGCCTATGGATGGAAAAGATGCCTCTTGGATACAAGATCCTCTCCCTTCATAATGGAATATGAAGGCATTCCTTAGAGATCTTTTCCCAGAACCTGGAAAATGCTGGGGTATGTTTTGACGAAGTGGTTATTTCTTTGCTACCTTATCTTTTAAGAATTTTTGTTAAGGAAAGTAGAGAAAACTGTATAATGAACCATCATTTATCATCAAGTTTCAACAGTTACCAATACACAGCCAGTCTTGTTTCATCTATATAACCTGGTATCTTTTCGAGAACGGTAATATTTTTTAAAAAACTATTTTCAGCAATAGAAATAATAGGGCCAATTTATGCACAATTAGCCTGCATTCCACACTTAAGATTTTAATGATGCTGTGAAATATAAAAACAGGGCTGGAGCTGCATGACTGATACCATTTTAATTTTTCCTTAGGATATCACACTAAGGGCCCTAATGAGCAAAAAAATCTCCTATAATAGCTTGGTGTCACCTTCGATGACAATGTGTATCAACAAACTAGATTCTGAATTCATTCAGAGTTAGCTTAGAGCTTTAAGCTGCAGCTAATGAGAAGCTTAATCTCTAAACATTTGATAGTTGGCAAATGCCAATTAAACAGAAACAGTTCATTCAGAAATCTAAAAAGTTGCTTATGGAAATTCACAACAACCTGGTTAATGTCAGGTTGGAACTCAAGTGGATTTTTGTGATGCCAGGAGATTATTTTTCAAAGCACATAGAAGACCTGGTGCCTGCTATGAATATGACTTTATAAATTACACTAATTAGAAATCTACCAGTTTGAAGTTCCTGATATTTCTGAGTTAAGAGAATATAAACAGTAAATAAAATTTAGAAGGACCATTAACTTCTGAGAAGTATTTTAGTCAAGTATTCTATATTCATATTATTGAACACTGGATGCTGCCTAAAAATGCTTCTATTGTAGGTCTACATTGTACTTTCATACTTCTGTTGACAAAAACATCCAGCCTAAGAGAAAGCTTATGAAAGTTTATTTGAGCCAAACTGACAATTGCAGGGGAAGCAAAATCTCAACGGATTGAGAAAATGCTCCGCAAAGTGATAGTTTGCAGTTTATTTTATACATAGACTCAAGGGAGGAGGGTTACATGAAATCCACTGATGGTAGATTAAGGGGGTGAGAGAAAGTAAAGTGGGGAAATCTCTGGATTTGGATAAAAAGTAAATTGAAGAGACAGGTGTTTCTTTTACACAGGTGGGTGCAGGATAGTTAATAGTTCACGTAGAGATGTTAATCAAGGGACAAGAATAATAACTAGGGATTCTGTACTTTCCTTCTCTGGTCTGGAAAAAGGGATTACTGATATTCCAAGGATGTCATTTTAGGTGCAAAAAGACAATAGACAGCCTCACTTAAGGTGAAGATTGACTTTATGAAGGAAGCTTCAGGCTAAAGATGTGACTTCCAGCCATGGCCCACCTTAGTTATGCATTTTATGTTCACGCCATCTTATGTGGTTATTTCAGTCTCCTGACCTTGTCAGGTTTAACCTGTGGCCCCTTTTCCATCCTCACTTCTATACTGTAATTATCTTTTTTTCTTTAATCTCTTCATTAAAATACGTCCCTTTCTACTTATACCAGAAAACAGCTATCAACCTTATTTGAACCATAGAAAATAGTTAAAAGCAGAAGACTTGCTTTTCTTTAAACATGTAGTAGAAAGGAATTCACAATTACAGTTTCCAGCCAACTAATTGACTGTAACAGGCAGGCATAAACACCTTTGTCAGCTACCAGGTTTCCTGTTTTGCTCTGAGGTTTGGCCCTAGCTCCCAGCCCCTAGGGGGGCCTCAGAGTTCACTTCCCCTCACCTCCCTTCCCCCCACAGATGTCCCAGCTGTAAGGTAAAAACAACACTTTCTTGAGATTACTGGTTCTAGCAGCGAGATATCCATAAAGTAGGGGAAAAAAAATGGTGCAAGACCAGAGAAGAAATAATGCAGCTGATGTGACTGGTAAATTGACTACTCTAAAACAAAGCAAAAAGATAATTTCCATTAGCCTATGCCGAATCTCATTTAACTTTGCTTCCCTACTATCTAGCACAGGGAAGACACCGAGTGTGTCCTTGGGGGCAAGGTGACAACTTGGAAGGGCCACCCTCATCTGTAAGAGTAAGTTCTGATAATCCTAGACGTGGAGAGTAGGGACTGGTCCATGGCAAGGGGAATCAGCCTTATTATAATCACACTGTGCACTAAAGCCTTTTAAATGGCTAACAGGTGGAGGAAATCACTCTCATAAAAGGCTGCCATCCAACAGCATAAGGGATGAACAAGGTAATGTTTTATTTTGCAGCCAGGGGCCACAGCAGGGTGGGGAGGTGGGAATCCAGCTGAGAGCTCTAAGCCCCAAGTCTGGCCTTATAGAAACTGCAAAACAAATCATTGGAAAAAGACTGAGGACCAAAGTTACGGACTGGGCTACCCACTGAAAGGGCAGATGTGCCGTGGAAACGCAGTCTGTGTGAAAGGCCACGCTGCTGCAGACTAGTGAGAGGCCAGTCAGCAAGACTTTATTGTTTGTTTACTTCAACTGTCAACTGAAGGTGTTTTTGTTTTTATTTTTGTTTTGTTTTATTTTGCAGGACCACAGTCATTCTCCAGCTGGTATTAGTAATAAGGGACGACCAGCTCGGAGCTGCCATCCCCAGAGCTCTGGGAAGCCTTGTCTCATTCATTCATCTTGTCACAGTAACTGTTACTGATGGACCATGACAGGTTAAGGTGAGTAGAAATTACCCCCAACTCCAGAAACAATATTCTTTTTTGGTTTCATTAACATCTAGGCATTTCCACAGGGGTGACCCAGGCATGTGCATGTCCTCCATCATGTGCCTGGAGGGCCTGAGCTCTGCTGATGCATTAAATTCCATCGCGGGTGATCAGGGAGGGCTTAGCCTACATCAGCTTGCCCACTGCCAGAATGCTCCCCTAAATCACTGTGTAATGTGATGCCCTCACTCTTCCTGAAGAGCAGTACAAGAAATGGCTCAATGAAGGGATTTTCGTATCTTCTGTAAAAGTCTATTCAAGACACCATCCCTCTAGTGAGTGTTCCTCATATCAGAAATCCAGCTTATAATAATAGGATCCCTATCTCAAGTTCTCTGAATTTAGAGCAAAACAAAACAAAACTCATTCCCCTGAAGAATGATGTGCCTTCCCTTACCTATCATATTTCCTTTTATCCATAGCAGCTAGGAAGCTTAGATACTCTCTTCCTACTTCCTTAGGAGTGAATTGGGGTACATAAGTACAACCCATAAACAGCCCTCTCCTTCCGTGGCTTAATTCAACAATTCTCTCCTGGTTCACCTTCCCCTAGGCCATGAAATTCTAAACAGTTGACTCTGTATCTTATTCACCTTGGCTTCTCTAGCATCTGTACAGGGAAGGCACACAGTCTGTCGTTAATAAGTACTTGATAACTGGATGGATTTAATTTGATTGATGCTAAAATATAACCACCTTATCTTTTTCAATTACGTAACCAGCTCTGTCTGTGTTATAACAATGACTTAAAAGTGTTTTATTGATACGTGAACACAAAACTCTTGAAATTGGTTTGGTTATAAGGAAACAAAAAGGGAGGGGTTTTTTTTTTTTCTTTCTTTTTTAAAGGCAGGATTAGGGTAAAAGCGATGGGAAGAAGTTTCAATATTAAAACCAAAAGACAAGTCTGAATTAGTCAACCTCCTTTACTTCTATCTCCAAAGAAAAATGATCTTCAGACTGGAAAGAACAGATGAACCAAGATAAAGATGAAACTGAAACCCATAATAAGGGAAGGAATTCAAAAGGAAGGCCTGACACTTGAACTAAGCTAAAATCTTTAGCCCTCCTCCCCCTCCAAAAAAACCCCTGCTCCTTAAAATACTAAAGAAATGTGTAGATATGATACCTGAGCTTTGTAAGTCAGAAATCACTGTTAATACAAGAGATATCAGAGGACTAGAGATAAGACAATATCTCGTTTTTCAAAAGAAAGGGGTTTCACATATGAGACCAGTAATCCATTCACAAATCTACCAATTATTGAATAAAATAGGATCAGAGAAAGACTCCATCCAATTCCCATTAGCAAGCATGAGTTCTCCAAGCTCTAAGAACATTAAATGCTCAAAAGAATCTCATTCTCATGTGTGACACAGCCACTAAACTGACACCAATGCCCTCAGTTCTGTCATCTAGAAAACAACAGCACTTGATGAGGAATTGTGGACCCGAGCTTTGGTCCTCTCTCCCCATACTGGTCCTGTGACGCTGACAGAGGGACAACCTTCCTTGGATTCAGTTTTCTCATGTGCATTTGAGATTTGGGGACTTTTAATGGGGGAGCAAGTGTCACAGTCAAAGAACAGGAGCCTGAAGTCAGGTAGTTATAGGTCAATCCAGAACCCCAAATTACATCCCTTCTCTATACCTGCTTCTTTCTTTTGTAAAATGGTTACAATGTCTGAATTCTTTGGAAGTTACATGGTAGCACATAGGTAAAGTGTCTAGAAAATCTTAGGCAGTTTATTAATGCTTTATTTATGTTAGTCCGTCCCCTCTCAAGTGTTCTTTCTCTTTCCAGCTCTAAAAATTCAGTGATTCTCAGTTGCTGATTTAAAATTACAGAAAGCTATGGCAGCTGCCTTCAGTTGGAGAGTTGGAGAAAGGATTCTCTAGGAGAGTGTGATTTAGTTGACAGTCCCTTATGATGCCTTATGGATATGACCATGACAGATGGGCTGCAGTAACATGCAAGGATAATATAAGGCCACATAAGGGTGACCATATGTCTAGTGAGCCTGGGACAGTCCAGGTTTATAACACTGGTCCCAGCAACCTGCCCCATTTAGCATCTGCCACAGACAAATATATTCTTGTTTGGATGATACATTGTATGCGTCAGAAACCAAAGTGATCAGGAAGCTCCCTGGATTTTCAGCTGCCTACAGGACTGAAGCCAAACTATTTCCATAAATAGATCAGTGGATCAACTTAAGAAGAGTAATTCAGGCCGGCCGAGTGGCTCAGTTGGTTAAGAGCTTGCTCAAGAGTGGGAGCTCTGAGCAGCAGGGTCGCCGATTTGATTCCCACATGAGCCAGTGAGCCGTGCCCAAGTGAGGTGCCAACAGGTGGCAGGATGGCTCAGCTGGTGAAAGCATGTACTCCTCACAAGACTGCCTTGTTCAAGATGGTGGGCTACGCCCGCCCACAACTAAAGACTGAACTGGGCACCTTGAGCTCAGCTGCCGCCCTGGTGGCTCAGGGGATACAGCGCGCACTCTTAACAAGGCTGCCGGTTCGACTCCCACCTGGGATGGTGGCTACGCCCACCTGCAATTAATTGAACACAGCACCTTGAGCTGAGCCACACAACTGGACTTGGAGCTGAGCTTGCTGTGCCCTCCACAACTAAGATTGAAGGACAACAACCTGGCTGTTCCCCTCCCCCCAATTCCCCAACACTGTTCCCCTCACCCAATTCCCCAATAAAATCTTTTTTAAAAAAAGAGTAATTCACCATGTTCCTTTCTCCATTCAGTCTCTTTTGCAAAATATTCCCATCTGTGACATGCAGTCATTTTACCTCGAGAGCCTGATACATGCCCCTGTGGGTTCCAGACTCCCACAAGGAACCCCTCACTAGTGGTACAGCTGCTCCTAGTTCTGTTTATTATTTTCCTTAATTGACTGGATGAGGACACAGAAGGCATACTTTTCAGTTTTGAAAAAGATAAAGCTTGCAGGGATAGAAAGTTAAGAGAGAGCAAACGATATCAAGATTACTTTGTAAACTGAAACAACGGACCAAATGCAAATCACAGAAAATGTGAAGATACATTGAAAGGCATGCCTTTAAGTTTTGCTCAAGGATACAATATAAAATATAGCTGGACAACAAGTCGTGATGAAAAAACTTGAAAGTTTCAGCAGAACATAAACATAAGAATAGTAGCGGCTAAAAATGCAAACACAATCCTCGGCAAACATTAAAACACCAAATTTTAGGTTGAGATGCTGGGAGGTAAATAACTTCAGGGTAAGCTGAACTAGGCAGACCACACATCAGCTACTCTGCCCATCCCTGACCATCTGGGAGTCACATTGCCCAGCGAGGGCTGGCCCAGGAAGGGAAGAGGCCTGCAACCAATTCAGCTGTGCTGGGCATGTTAGACAACTGAGGCGCTTAGCTCTGAAGAGAAAAGACAGATAATGTCCAAGGAGCCATGACAGTTTCTTTCAATTATTTCAAAGTCTCTCTTGGCTGCATGGCCGAGAGAGAACTTTTTGTGAACTTGTTCCAAGGGGCATTACCAGGGGCTGATTTTATAAGATTCAATTCTGGATTCATACATACAAAGATCTTTTCTAAGAACTGCAGCAGGCCACACATGGCACGAGCTACCCCATAATGTGGTGAGGTGACCATCACTGGGGGCCACTACACCAATGGCTACAGCATTAGGGACAGAGTAAGACATGGGTTTCTTATCGAGTTGGGAGTTGTCCCCATTTTTTCATTGAGCCAACAAGTCTCAAATCTACCACGTGCACTGCAAAAGCAGATGATCCTAGATTCACTTCTTTTTTCAAAGATTCTGTTAAAATACAGCTGGGGGTGGCAGTACCTTAAGACGTGATCCGATTTCTCTTTAATGGGGGTAACGGTGCTGTAAGAGAAATGAGTGCCAGAGCAGCAGGACCTCAGGCCCTGGGCGTGGCACAGAGGGACGAGCAATGTGAACTGAATCAGGATTGGGGAACCTCTCACCTGAGTGACTGCATTTGGTAGCTTGATATTCTCGGTGGTAGCAGTCACATCAATGGAAGCCCGCACGAGAATGTCCAAGTAGTTCATTTTAGAATATTCCTGTTTGTAGACAAAATGAGCAAATGCATTAGGGAAATGAGTAGCATCCTAGGAGGTGGCAAATGACTTCCAGCAGGGACAGCCTCACAGCGGGGCCACACCTCTAGAAATGTGCTGTTCCATAACCTGGAGCGCAAAACGACAGAGGCCTTGCTGTCCAGGCCTCGCAGCGGGCACCTTATGTTCACACACTTCACGTTGACACTGCAGTTCTAGGGAGAAAAGGAAAAGTGGTCTTTCAAATGTAACAGTCTGAGGAAGACCTTCCTCCCATCCTCGGTCAAATATTCATAGCTCTTGAAAAATACTTACAAGGGTCTGGTATTTTCTTTCAGCAAATAAAGAGAATGTTTTGGTATCATCTATCTGTTTTTCGGCAATTTCCCGTTTCTTTCTTGAGCTGTGAGACTCCTGAAAAGAATTATATCCAAAATGGTTTCACTTAACGTACCTCTTTGTCACTACTGTACACACCTTTTAAGCTCGCCCTTTCAAATGATGCCAAATTCACATAATCAATATTTGCCCTTCTCCCATCACCAATGACAGAAATACTTTAAGAAATACTGCAAGTGTTATTACCAACTTCACTTCAAGTTTGTTGATTAAGGTAATTTACTCCCACTCTGACCTAAAAACTCAGGGAGAGAAAGGAGTTTTCTTTGTTCTTCTGTCTCCCCACTAAACTGTGAGCATCCTAACATCAGGAATCAAATCTCATTCTTATATCTCTAGCACTAGCTCAGTGGCTAACATATGGTAAAAAGTCAGCACATCTTGAACAAATGTCAAACTGAAGAACACGGAAAAAAGCAAAAAAAAACTAGCATAGGGCGGCCAGATGGCTCAGTTGGTTAGAGCGTGTACTCTTAACAACAAGGTTGCCGGTTTGACTCCCACATGAGATGGTGGGCTGTGCCCCCCGCAACTAGATTGAAAACAGTGACTGGACATAAAGCTGAGCTGCGCCCTCCACAACTAAGACTGAAGGACAGCAGCTAGCCTTGGAGTTGATGGGTCCTGGGAAAAAAACACACTGTTCCCCAATAAAGTTAAAAAATAAATAAATGAATAACTAGCATAAGATTTACTCAAAGTCGAGTACTGAAAACTAACCCATGTAAGAAGTTTTAACATTGCATTTTCCTTAAAGCAATTAGGATTAAGACTAATGGACCATCTTGGTTTTCAAAGTTGATGAATAGAGAGGATCATTCTAATAAGCCACCAACTATGAACACTGACCATACCCAGTAACCTTAGAATTTCAAACAGAAAAAAACAGACATTCAACAATGAAGCAAATCTTCATCAAACTGGAGTCCATATGACGAACCAGTTATATAAGCAGTAGACAGGAGGGTTAAGAGTGAGGGCTTTGAAAGCAGGCAGAGCTGCGCCTGAATGCAGAATCTGCCTCTTAACTGTTGAGTGACTCTGAGCAAGTTAATCCCTCTGAATTTCAATTTCCTCTTCTATGAAACGGTGAAGAAAAATACGTCATAGGACTATCAAGAGAATGAAATGAGAAAATGCAGACAAAATGCTTAGCATAGTACCCGAGGCACAATAAATACTCAATAAATATTTACGATTTTAAAAAACGAGTGAAAGGCTTTCAAGGTCACTTGCTAAGGTGCCAGTATCTTTTGTAATGAGTTTGGTTGTACTGGGAGTTAACACTGGCTGACCCACCCCCAGAAGCATGACCCAGTCCTTATATATCACAATGGGTCATAAAACTTCAGAAAACGACATTTGCTTCAACAAGCAGTGACTGACCCTGACTGAGGTGCCATAATGGTCTCTAATCAGCAGAAATCCTCAGCCTGACTTGGTTACTCAACTACAGAAGAGAAATTGTGACACCAAAGAAAATGTCAATGCGCCAGAACATCAGTTTCCCAAGGAGAATAATGGGTTTCTCCTCAAAAGTCAGCTCCTTTTATATCTATGGAGACTTGAGATAAATCTACCAACATACCTTTAGACCCAGAAGGTTTATTTCATTTTGTGGCTCACAAGCTATCTTTTCCAATCCTTTACTTTCTACTTTCATCAAATAAAGCAACCATTTGCCGTTGCTAATTTCTTTTGGCCACTGGATATTCAAGGTCGCCATGCCGAGGTTTTTAAGGGGTTTGCCCAAGTTAATTACCTGTTAGAAAATAACACATATTATCCCAGTGTAATTCTCATAATGTAGAAGTAGCAGCTCCTATTGCCAAGAGAAAAAAAACCCCAAAATATCTGGCATCATCCTACAATACAAGCACAAACTCCAAAACTGGACTATCAATGGGCACTCAAAATAGAAATTTGTGCTTCAAGATTCTTGTCAATAAAAATAGAAAGATAAAAAAGGTCAAAAAGAAATGATGGCTCATTCAATCCAAGAACTATTGCTGTGCACAACTGAATCCACAGTGCATATATGCTCCACTCTCAACATGCCCAGGAAAGTCACACCCGTGTTGCTGAATCGCTCGGTAACCACCGTGCTCAGCAGAAGACAAAGGCTGTGCCTTGGCAATGCACCAACCACCTGCATCAGGAAAACCCCACCTACTGCCTCTGTCCTCTACTACCCTCGGGGAGCTTGGGATAACAACTGAGAGACTGAGTAAAACCATGATGGCAGCCATCAGTCTACAAGGTCAAGCTCGAAATGAGCCACTTCCTGCAGCAGAAGCCAAAAGAGGGTGTGACCCTCTTTATCTGTGTGGAAGACTGCTCCAGATCCCAGTGACTTATTTCTCAGCCACACTTGCACAGGTGTCATAGCCACCACCACTACCTGTCACAGCTGTGTCTGTCATGCTGAGACGCATAAAGGAGAACCAGTCTCCTTCCTCCTGCTGGAGTTAGGGGTGGGCCAATTCTTGCCATTTTAGATGGTCACCTCAACAAGGGTCACTATGCTTCCAGGAACATGATTTGAGCCACTCCGAGCCAAACCCACATAGGAGTTATGAGCCAACTCTGTTCCATTTGTTTAAGTTCATCCGACTGGACATAGAGTCACGTGACTGCCTACTTTGAAGTAGTTCAGAGCCATCATGAGGCGTCCTTACTGGCATGTGCCAAATCCACATTCACCATCACAAAATTGGGCTTGGGAAAGGTGAGTGAACATTAGCCACAGCAATAAGAGAGATGGCTTTATAATGGAGGAAGACATAAATCAGAGCAAGTTGTAAAGCCAAACATAAATT